GCCGTGCATTTGGAAAGGCGTGTGGCTGTGAACATTTTAGATAAAAGACACTTCTCTGCGGGATTTTGCTGTTTTTGATCAATATGAATATGTGCCATCCTTTCCTTAGAGGATTTTCAAATGTAATGCTACGTATAGATACGCAGAGAGTACAGAAAATGCCTTTTTCTCCTGTTACACTGACAAACCTTGACAGTAGTTAGCAAACATGGAAAGGAATACGAATTTTAACATGTGTTAGTCCCAATATGTTGTTATCATAGATGCTGTACAAGCCCAAGGGTGAACAGCAGAAGCATAGAATCAGGCATCCAGGCCAGGATTTAATAAAGTAAGACTTTCCATTTTTCTTTTTTAAAAAACAAATGCCTAGCCCTCATGATTGTAGGTGGGGGTGGGCAGTGAATCACTGTGCTTGGCTATTTTCTTTTGGAAGCTTAAATCTAGTTTGACTGTCACTTCAGTATCCCATACAATGGCCTTTCTTTCTTTTGTTGATTGCACTGCGCTTCCCCTTCTTCATGGCCAATGCATTGCCTTTCTTGTACAATGGCAGCTTTTATGCAGCATAATAAGCCAGATTTCCTTAGAACTGCGAATCTGCCAGTGCATTGGGGCATGTTGCTTAATTGCTTCTGCTTGGTTCCTGCCACAAGCAAGAGCAGCTGAACATACTGTGGACCTTCTGTCTATTGGTTGTGACCTGGGAACACTGACTCGCCTCTTCTCGGACAAAACACAGTCATAAGCCATGGCTTGTTCTTGGCTTATGAATCTGGCTTGTCTGGAGGCAGGCAGATCTTGTCAGTTCCAAGATACCATGTCAAGATAAAAAAAATATGGACAGAAGGTGCATGGTTTGCTTAGCTGTTCCTGTTGGCTGATTCCCAATAGTGCCATGTGAACACAGTGTTGCTTTATTCATCCTTTAGTTCCATGTGTATTCTTTGCTTTTAGAAGCAGAGCTATATGCAGTCCCTGGCAAGGCATGGCTACTTAATTATTGGTACCAAATCTTTGGTAATCTGCTTAGAGACTCAAGATAGGCACTAATGAAAATAATGGCAGAAAAGTTAACAGCACTTTGAATGTCACATCAATTTAACAGGTGAAATTCTCTTGTTGGGAGAATGTATACTCTGTTGTTAAATGGGAACAAGCAGGAAAATCTAAGAGGCATTTGCTTTCAGTTATAACCATGATTATATCTGACCCAAAGAATTGAAGGAGCAGGACTGTATAGAGAGGTTCATAGTATTGATAGGTCTGTAACTAAGGAGAAGGAAAGTCATTCAAAGTGAAATGCTGGAGGAGAGCTTTGTGACTACCTTGGACTGACAGGCAAACAAGAGGATCCTAGATGAAACCAAGCCAGAACTTTTTCTGACAGTAAAAGTGATGAAGCTGAAGCTGAGATACTTCAGGCCCACCATGAGAAGGCTACACTACCTGGAGAAGAAAGTCATGCTAGGAAAAGTCAAAGGCACTAATGGAGATGAAAGGAGGGGAAAACCAAATAAGAGATGGATGGATTCCATAAAGGAATCCACATCCTTGAGTTGACAAGAGGACGTTCTGCAGAACATTCATTCACAGAGTTGCCATAAGTTGGAGATAATGCAGTGTATACAGTAGAATTACTCGATATGTCTGCATCTGTATGGTGTTGCTTTATTGTGCGTGTTTCTTGGTGTGGGTTGATTGCATAGTGGAATGTTCTTCCATAAATAGTCTCTCTCTTCCCTTAAAGGAGGTTTGGACCTATCCATTATACTTTTATACTGATTAATGTTCTAAAATCCTAAAAGGGTTCACATTAAAGATACAAGATAAGATAAAAAATAAAGCATTATAAAAATAACCAGTAAGGCAGTTCTGTATAGGACAGGGAAAGCAATTCATGCCATGTCCTTGCAACATTCCAGTGATCAGAGAACAACTAGTAAGGCCTCCTCAGAAGATCTCAGGGTTGCTGTGAGGAGTAAATGGAGTAGAGGAGGACCATAACTTGGATCCCTTGCAAGAGGACAAAAGATGGGATACAAATAAATAAAAATGCATGGTAAGATTCTCAAAAGGCCAACTTTTATTCCCATTGGTGGCTTTTCTGGGCATTTGTTATTGCAATGGGAAGAAAAGTTTGCTCTTGTGTATGGATCTTTGGGCGGCCTGGCACTCCTGTGCTAACTCTCATTCAGTGGCTCATCCCACTGTAGTCTACACAGGTTCTCTGCTTTCAGGGTAAAGTCTTAATACTGGGTTATGAATATGAGAGCAAGCCAACACTTCTGCTCTGCCAAAGCTGCTCTTCTTCTTTTCCATCCTTCCTGACCCTTCACCTTGCAATGTTTTCCAGAACAACATTCAGATAATTCTAATACCAAAGGGCCAATCACGTAGGACTAAGGAGAAGCATTTAGTCTAGACTTTTCTTTGGGGTGCTAAGTTCAAGTTCAGGGATTGATTGTACCATAGCTTTCCACAGCCTGAAGCCTTCTAAATCATTCTGACTTTATATCTCATGGCTGATGTTCAGGAATATTAGAAGCTGAAGTTTAGAACCTCTGGAGGACACAAGGTTGAATTGGTTTACAAAGAAACTCAGAAATGTTACTTAGCTCTACTAAGCAAATTCCTCTCCACGATTCAGTCAGATTTCTTTTGCTTTCTAATGGATCTTTATTCTAACAGAGAGAAATATGTTGGCTCTGCCTGAAATGTGTGAGTAGAAATAGCAGTTTCCTGATGGATTTAGTTTGGGATTTTTCAGGATGCTTTTCTTTGTTCACTACAACTTCAAAATCATCAATAGAAGGTCCTCCAGAGGGTTTTATGCTTACACTCTAAATTATTCCTCTCATTTAACAGGACAAGGTTTGCTTCTCTGAGAAAAGCATCTTGGCTCCCCACCACTTTGGTTGTACGGTCTATGCTGACATTATTTTGCTTGCCGCTGGAGGAAGAACTTAACTGGAAATGTGGATTGGCTGCCTTGTTTATAAAAGATGCTCTGAGCTGGTTTTGAGAGTTCAGATGAAAAAGTCCAGAAACGAAGTGAGACTCATGGCTCCATATTCAAATATACCTATTGCATAAAACAGTCATGCAAAGTCTAGAAATAAATGAGAATCTAGTTTTCAGTTGCCACAGTGGCTCTTAGGAAACATCCATCCTGGAGGAAATGTCTTTCTTCTTGGATCTCTGTATCTGAAGAAGAAGAATGGCATTGAGGAGCCATGGCTTTTTGTGAAAGGACAAGCTATACTTGCAAACAAAATGGATATTTAGCAGGGAGCAATCCACTAGGCACTGCTGCTATTCCACAGCATACCTTTATGTAAAAGGAACTTCCTCTGAGCTACTTTTGGAAAGGATCTACAATAAAATGTTGCAGTGTGAACTGCCCTTTATCGCGGTTTCAGCCAGATAGCTCACCCTATCTTCTTTCTGGAGTCTTCATTTCATTCCTGTTCCCTGTTTTTCCCTCTCTAAACACCCCACATGCATTCTGTACCCACTGAACCTGCTTGAACATCTTAGGGCTGTTTTAGAGTTTGCTTTTAAAAAGGGATTGCTTGCTGATGCACACCTTCTTTTGTGTGGACAATGATGCTTTGGCTCCAAAAGAATCCACATTTGGAGAATAAGGTCATAATAATTTGGCATGTATGTGTGAGGCTAGATTGTAATTACAGGACACACTGGAGGACCATGTGCAAGCTATCACAAGCACGTGGATGCTTTTTAAGACTGTCTTCCAGAACTAGCACCATGCACACCTGTCCACTGCATGGCTGACCCTAAAATAGGGATGCACCACAGGATTGGAGCCCTTTGCTGCTGCAGAGGCATCTTCAGGATGCAAAAACAGGTTTTGAAACAGAGGAGACGGAGCGGCTGAAATTCCTGGGTGAAATGCCAAGGCCAGTGGACTCAGAAATAAGCTGAGAAGTATCAGAGAATGAGCTCACTTCAGATACTGTGGAAGGTCACAATGAACCTGGTAACAAGGAGGAGGGTAAAACAGGCCTAGCTAATCCCAGGATCAAACGTCATTTGAAGAGGGTGGGCCAACTGAGAAATGTCAGATATTCTGAGCAGCTGGCTCCCCAAGCACAAAGCTCCACCTTAAAAATGCTAGTAATTGGAGTCTGAGCAGGGGAGGAGACCATGGGATTAAAACCAGCTCCTTACCACTGAGGTCAGACTACCTTAATGTCTTGATTGCTTACAATTCTAATCACTTTTGTTTCTTTTGTCATTGGTTTCTGCATTATGCTTAATGTGTACTTTACAGCCAGCCAGTCATGTTTCCATTACCACAATAAAGCTTTCATTAGAATATCTTTGTCTGTGTCTGCTGCAGAATCTCTTTCAGACCAAGGCCTAAATTCTGTTTTAGAGAGTCTTGATGGGGCCACTTTTTGGAAAATCCGGTGGGCCGGATTGAGATCCCTATGTCTGAGGCTGCACGTGCCTCATCTGAAAATGCAGGGCATTGAAAAAGGGTTCCAGGCTTCAGCTAGCATGGGAATGATGGTAGAGATGGGGTGAATGATCCACCCTGTGCTGAAAGCTTGAGACACAGCAAGGCAATTCTGCTGCACAGAGTGCGCTTAGCAGCTGGGCTGGTTCATGTCAAAGGAGACAATCCTTGATGACCCGAATATGGTGTTGTTAGTTGCAAAGTTGCGCCCAACCTATCACAACCCCATGGACAACATTCCTCCAGGCTCTCCTGTACTCCACCAATCCTTGGAGTCCACCCAAGCCCACACCCACTGCCCCAGTGACTCCATCTAGCCACCTCATCCTCTGCCGTCCCCTTCTTTTGCTGTCAGTTGTTCCCAGCATCAGAGTCTTCTCCAGTGAATTGTTCCTTCTCATCAGGTGGCCAACGTAATTGAGTTTCACCTTCAGTATCTGGCTTCTAAAGAGCACTCAGGGTTGATCTCCTCTAAGACTGACCGGTTTGATCTCTTTGCAGTCCAAGGGACTCGCAGGAGTTTTCTCCAGCACCACAATTCAAAGGCCTCAATTCTCGGTGCTCAGCCTTCCTTATGGTCCAGCTTGTATATGAATATATTTAGGATCAAGTTGTAAGGGTGAATCTTATAGGCAAGGAACACATATTTGGAAGTACGTTGCATGGTGTTCAGATGACCTTACCTCCAAGTGAGTGGTAGTGGGCAATTGTAGAACAAGGGCAAGGTGTGTTTTCCATCTGGATACTACCTGTCTAGACTTACGTACACCCAGATCTACCCTTCACAACTGGCAGTGCCTACAGCTTGTCCTGCTTGTGCAGTTTCCATGCAGGCATTGGATATTCTTGGTGGCTGAAGAATTGCAGTATGAACGTCTCCATGCATTTGAAACCTCCCATGCAGCAACCTACTCCAGGCATTGCGGTACGGCCATGGTGTGGAGCTGACCATGGAACTGCTTTTCTAGGAGCCTTCACACCGAGAAGTTAATGTGGCTTTCTCCAGGATGTTGACTTACTGATACAGCACCTTTTAGAATTAACAAGAACAGTTCTCAAATGTAATTGTTGGGAATGTATGGATTCTAGAATGGTAGAGGGACTTTCCTTGTATCTCTGTCACTCAACAGTTAATAAAGGTACTGGTGCAAATGTGGCCATGCCATGATTCATCATATAAACACACGGACACACCCTGCAAAGAACCACATTTTGTCATTTGCTGTTGTCATCCAAGTAAATGTGGAGAAAATAAGAAAGCTGTTCTCCAAACTGCAGTATTTTCGGTTTGTCTCCTGTCTCTTGTGGGAAAAGCCTTAGCCAAAATTGAAGTGTCTTTCCATGAAAACTGGCTGAATGATCAAACAGAACTAATCAGTAATGATTCCTCCATCCACTTGCAAATCCTTGCAATTCACTGCTCCTGACAGGTTTCCTCAAACAATGTCTTTGTCTGTTTCCTGTTGATTGCTTGACACAGGAAGCCCAGATTTCCTACTTCAAATCACTGTTGCTTTTGGGTTCAAGTGACAGAACTTTCCTGTGTGTTCCTGCATAAACAGCTACCTTATAAAGGTTGGTTTAGCTGTTTACATTTCTGGTGAAGAAGGAGATCTTGGTCTCATGGACACAGCTCTGTGAAAAAGCCAACCCTGTATGTGGCAGTTGTGGAAAAAATCAGATTGCATGCTGAGGAATCATTAGCAAAGATATTGTAAATAAAACTGCCAATATCCTAATACCTTTAAACGGATCTGTGATGAGCCCACACTTAGAAAACTCTATTCTTCTGGGTGCTGCTTTACAAAAACTGCATTGGAAAATTGGAAAAGATATTAAAAAGGGCAAGTGGAGGGCAAACACCCTCATGAGGAAAGTCTGCACAACATTTGGAACTTCAAGATTAGAAAAAGAAAGCCAAGTATGACGGAACACATTTAACATATACATTAAAGTATGCATAGTGTGGGGAAAGGGTATTGAATAGTTTTTGTCCCACTTGCGTAATACTAGAATCTGGGTTCATCCAATGAAGCTGAACAGTGTGAGATTCTGGGCAGCAAAGAGGAGGTACTTCTGTTACACATTACATAGGTAAAGTATGGAACTCACAACCACAGCATGTCGTGATGGCAACTTCTCATTTTGTGGTTGCAATCCTATGCTGTTATTTGCATAGGACAAAGTCCCATGGAATTCAGTGTGACTTGCAAAGTTCAGAGATGTTGGTCTTTATACTGTGGGTCATGCATTCCCCACTGCTGACAAATTAAGATATGAAGCTGTATGGTGGAAAATTCAAGAGAGATAACAGAAGGCACTTTTTTACCCAGTACATAAACTTTGGAATTCATTGCTACAGGAGATAGCAGTGACCATCAAGCTGGACAAATTCATGATGGATGAGGCCATCCATGGCTACCAGCCATCCATGGCTAGTAGATAGTAAAATGCTACTTTTGGGATCAGTGGGCATACTAGTTGCAGAGACATGGGCAGGAGGGTGTGCCACAACCTTGCTTGATACCTGCGAGCATGAGAGAGAGCATTTCTGAGGGTGCCACATTCTGAGGTCGAGCTCCCCCCAGGGCTACTTGCGTAGGACATTTAATGTTGCTGCACCCCACACACCGATGCTTCCATCTCTTAACTCCCATCTCTTCACACAAGCTTTGCCTGAAGTGTGAACCAGCCAGCTGTGATTGTACCACACATTTGAGTGTCATTCTACCGCTGATTAATTTTGTATTTTCATTTTATTGTATATTTATTGTTGTTTTGCTGCCATTGTCTTTCATGTTCACTGCTTTGATACCTCTGTGGGAAGCAGTACATACATTTGAGTTGTAAATAAATTGCAATCAAGTTCTGCTGAGGATCTCCCATAGGCAGCTGGCTGGCCACTGCGTGAAGAGAACGCTGGAATAGATGTGATCTTTGCCTGATCCAGCATGGCTCTTAGGGTTTGAATAAACAGGTATTGCTCTGATTTATGAAAGTGTGTGCGTGTCTCTACTACAACCAGCTACCAGCCAGTAGCTTTTCTCCTAGAATAACATGGTTGACTCTCATATCATATGGTAGCTTCAATTTGGGTTTACTGGAGAGCCTGTCACTTTCTGGTAAATTCATTGAACACATACGGTTTTTGTGCTCCAAATTCCTGCTCTCAGGATGCAGGTTTTGCACAAGCGTTTGTATTTATAACATAGTGTTCTCCTTTATTAGTCTGGTTTATCCTTCATTGGATATCTGCTGTACTAGCATGCACCCAGCATTTCTTGAGCTAAGAGCAGAACTAGAATTCAGAAATATAATGTACAGATTTTGACATTTGCCAGTGTAGATTGAGGGTAAAGGATTACATGTTGTAATAGCAGAGAAATCTGGCATATGAAAGAGTGGTTTTCTATCCCCCTGCTTTATCCCATAGTTTTATAAATGCAAAGGGTTTGCTGATGTGAGGTGGCATTCAAGGTACAAAGAAATGGACTGTTGGTCGCTTAGTAGAAGCAGGAAAAATACTCCCTCCTGTTCATGTAAGGCATCCACTGGGTTGTTCTCACCTGCAATCACCTTTGGCAGCTTACCTTTCTAGGCTTGTTTGGAAGCAACAATCCAGAAATCTGGACAGCACAGTGAGCTTCTGCTTGCTGGTGTGATCCTGGATGCAGAAGCTGCTGCTCCTAGTGGGAAGAGCCAAACAAGAAGTCTCTATGATACTGTTTTCTCATGACTGATAAGCCAGGATTTAAACCCCCTCACCCCCCAAATTCTAGCTTATTTTTTGAATGCAGCGGTAGAATCATCCTACATGTAAGTTAATTATGAACAGTTCTGCCACAAGAAATCAAGTAGTCTTTTTACAATGGTACCAAATGAGTTTTTAAAATGTCCTTGTTGCTACAAATTAAAGTGGTAATATTCTTCACAATGCTAGATGCTATTTTGGAGAAATCTAACATCAGCTCACTAGCAATAAATAAGTACAATAAACCATTGTGCTTTACAATACATCAATCAGTATAGGAACTGTTGCCTCTGTAGCAGCATTCATAAATGTTAGGAATGAGAAGTTCAAACAACCAGTTGCATTTATTGCCAGGATTACTTACATTATATCCTGTGTGGTTGTTTTCAGGACCTGGGATGTTGACCGAATGACCTCAGTTGGAATAAAGTCTCTTCCGCTGAACGGCTTATCCTCATAATCTTTTATAACTATTCTGCAGCTTTGCTGTATACACCTGAATGCTTTTTAAGGAACTCTGGAAACTTGAAGTGTATCATTTATCAGATGACTGGAGAATTACATTATTATTTTAACTTAATAATGAATTTTGCTGGAAGTAGCTTTGATTTCATTTTAAATGGGTTAATTTTAAATTGTGTGTGTGTGGGAGCTAAGCAGTTAATGATAATTGTCTAGAAAAGTATATATTCAGGTTGAATAGTTGGGAGGTAGAGCAGTTGCTGCCGGTTGGTCTATTTCTTTCAGCCAAGGTCTCTTGAGATATCCAAGGGCAGATTAGTTTTTCTTGTGAAACATATATTAACAGTTGAGTTATATAAGGAGTGTAGTATGCCACATATTGTGAAGTGTTGATTTTGTTATCCATTTGTGTCATGTCATCATGTAGAGATACATATTTGGGACATGGGATGGGGCAAAATCACATGCATACATTTTGTAGTGCATTCCTTTCTTAAATTAGCATCTGCAAGGGGCCAGCTGCAACCTTATTTTCCAAATGAAGGTTACTTTAAAAAAGAAGAACAAAAGTATCTGAGCATTCAGGCGCATAGAATCAGATGCTGACTTCATCCAAGCAACTGTTGTTCAGACAGCTTCCTGACTGGCTTGTAAGAGCCCATTTTTTAAAAGTTTTGTTGTGAAATTCAGAACTCTATATACTTTGCTTGCATTCATGGCCTGTGACCTTCCCTCTCTATTCCTTCCTTGCTCACTGTTATCTCCTGGGTTGCTTTGTAAACCTTCATGTATATTCATGAGACCTTATAAATAATAATGAATTCTACATGGGAATCTTATAGGCCTGGAGGAGCATTAGAATACAACACCAGTTGTGCTATAGAGCTGTCCAATCAAAATTTAATGTGCCTTTAACTGAGCTCTGTTTCTATAAACAAAGGGACATATGTTAAGTCGTAATATTAAAACATTTGTTCTGTTTTGCACATGGTTTGCTTGTCTTACGGGGTCACTTCACTCACCCATAGTTTCCAGACATGTACTATCACAGCAAACATGATTCTTGGGCAGATTAGAGAACATCGAATGCCAGGAGGTAGGAGGATTAGAAGTGCAATAACAAAGAATCGAGAACTAAAATAAAACTATCAGTTCATCACACACTGCAGAGTGTCCCTTTCTGCACGGAGACAGTGCCATGCAGCGACAATGCTGAAGCAGCTTGAAGGGCATCTTCAGCTGGTCTGTTAGCTCAGCCCTCTTCTTTGAAGAGGCATTCATTACTTTTTACTTGCAAGGAATTCAGACCAGCAAACGTGTTCCTCCTCCATGGTCTCCTCACAGTAACCCTCGGTGAGGCTGAGAGGAAGTGCCTGGCGCAAAGTCACACTGCGGACTACGTGGCTGAGTGAAGGCTAGACCTGGACCTTCTGAGCCCCAGCTTAATGTTCTGACCACTACACCACACCTTTGGCTTCCTGTTCCCTCAGAAGAGACCCTCCTATTAGCCAGCATACCAGGTTGCTCCTAGATGTGTGTTCCAGGCTGCCCCACCACCTCAGAAGCCTCTCAGTTCGTCCTGCCCCACATCAGTCCAGAGTCTTCCAGTTTTCCTGTAGCTCCAGCACCGTAATATCCCCTACCTCCTTGCATTCCTCTTGCTCAAGGGCTGCTTCTTTGAACGTGAATGTTTTGGAATAGGGCCTGCCTGTGTGCTTTTCTCTTTTTGGCCACAATGGTAGACAGTTTTGGCATCTGGAACTTGTGAGCAAACATTGTGCAGGCTTTGCAAGTTTTGCCCCTTCTTGCTGGGAAGAAAGAATCCTATCAAGGGGTATTTTAGGTCCATGCTGCGCACAATCAGAATTCCCATTACTCAACTGCTCTTCATCAGCGCTGCTGTGGGAACTTGTTTGCAAAGGCAGATTTCATTCCTCGTTATCATATGCTCTCCTTGTGATCTCTGGCATGGATGACATGAATTTTTCTCATCCTTGTTAACCACAGCTCCGATGCCCATCAGATTCTTGCTGCCACTGGCATGGCATGCCATGACCCTCATGCTTGAGCTAATAGACTTCGGGGCGTTCCCTGTCCTTGTTCGCAAGCACGTGCAAGTCCAGGCCAGAGCAGTGCAATTTCCAAATGGTGGTTTAAAATTTCCTCTGCCTCTGCTCGGGAGGGAAGAAGGAATGACATGGCCGGCATTTGCTGTTGGAGGGAGACCTGCCCGCAGTTTCCGTCTGAATTGTGCTCAGGAGAGTTTGGCGACAGGTGTGCAGGGAACATAAGATTCTGTGTGAGGGGAAGGTGGTTGCAAAATGAATGCTTGATGTTGATCTGGCTCATGTGATAGCACTTCCTGAGCTTCGTATGGGCCAGTTCCTACCTTGAATATTCTTTGTGTGTGTCTCTGTGTGATAGATACGTGCCCATGCATGCATGCATGCACACACATGTACCACCCCACACACACATAAGTGGATTTGTTTGGTTAGTTACCCTGTGGATATTAATGTTATCAATTATTAAAAGTTTAAAATGGATTCAGCATACTTAGAAAATTGGAATATCTCTGTAGTATTGCCTTTCTTTTTATGTTTGTCCTACTGTCCTTGTTACAGTTTCTAGGATTCCCTTGACAGCTGTTACCTGTAAGCAAACCTTTTTGTGAAGGTATTTGAATTCTTTTCTATTGCTCATGCCTATTCTTAATTTTGTTTTGGTTTTTCTAGGCTTCTGTGTTGCTTGATGGCGGATTAGAACATAGGTAAATGCAGCGCTGTACTGGCTGCATTTGCACGTAATGGTCCTGAATAAAGGTGACCATGGCTTCTTGCTTTAGCCATGAATTGCCTTGCAAATGAGCAAACAACAGCGACTTGTGATCTCTGTTTTATCTTTCTCCATCTTGTCAACCTTGGGAGGGTTTGTGTTCCACTGTTCTTGCTTGGGCGCCTTTATTTCAGGCGCCCAAGCAAGCCAAGGATATGTTACAATTCTGGGTTCAGACTTCAAGACAGACCATTTATTAAACAAGCCAGACTTCCACAAGCCAACAACAAACCACTGGTTCATTTGGTGGCTTGTAGCTGGTTATGAAACCATGGTTTGGTTGCAGGGATGGGTCCAGACAGAATAGCAGGCCGCATTTCAGCACACCACATCACCGTTTAGTGTTATGTGAAAATCACGGCCCTGGGTCGTCTAGACCACTGTCACGGACACAGACTGGCACTAGCTCTCCTGGGTTTCAAATAGAAAATTTTCCAGCCCTGCCTGCAGGGTCTGGAAATCAAATCTGGGATCTTCTGCATTCAGAGCTCTTGCTCTGCTACTGAGTCTCCTTAGCTGTATTCTTCTGTTTGCTTTGCTCACTACCCTCTGTCGACACTGCTGAAAGCATCTTAGCGCACAACAGATATCTAAAGCTATTGGATTAAAATAAATACTGCTGGCAAGCCAAGCAAATCTTCAATCTGGCATACTGTAATTCGCAGCTAAATCTCTCTATTTCAGCAACTAATTATGAGAGGCTTTTCCAAAAGATGCTTCCTAATATGCAAATGACCCTGTCCTAATCTGCCATCCTGTGATTTGCTCCCTGCCAAAGGGGGCTTCATCATGTTTACAAGGAATCTGTGTAAATTTTCAGGCCTGTTTCAGGCAATCCAGCAGCAATTAGAAGATAATCTAGAGAACTGAATACTTCAGATTGAACAAGACATTCATTTGTACAGAATTAGGGCATTTTTCACACACAAAGCATAAGTCACTTTGTAATGTGAAGATAAACATTACATTAACTAGAATGTACAATTGTTTTAGAACAGCCTTCTCTGCTTCCTGTCATATGTTAAAAATGTTTACAAGTTCCATTCTAAAAGGCAGCATTGCGGCTTGTGAAAATGCCGTCATGGTGCCGGAGACTCGGTACCTCCAGGAGAAGATTCCAAATGTGATGACTCTGACATGGCAGAAGCTAAAAAGTAAGCACCCCTGCAGATTGCTGGATCTGTGCCTGATCAGAGGTGCTCACGACCATTTCCAGCACCATTGTTTAAATTATAAATAGCTTGCTCTCACAGCAGATACTGTAGAGAACTATATTCACAATATTTTTTTTAAAAAAGTCTGCAGATGGATAGCAAGAATGCATTCTTTATATTACCTTTGAAAGTGCCTACATAAAGTGCATGGGATAGAACAAAAACAAAAAAAACACCATGTCATGTGAGTGTTTTCATGCATGATTTGTGTCCATATGTGGTAGCTTCTGAAACTGGGCAGAGTAAAGAAAAACATTATATTTTACTTGGTGCAGCATTTGCTTTTTAACTTTATGCATGAAGGATGCAAATAAATAAAGACATGATGTCTTCCAGTATGATTTGTGAAAATGTTTGGAGTAACCGATGCCAAAGTGCAAACTTTGACAAGCCACCACATTGTGAGACAGAGTTGAGGTCCCAGAGAGACCTCAAAAATTCAAGAAGCTACTGTATCTTCACTTCAAGCATTTGTTGGGATTGTGATGCTAAGAGGCACAGTTGTTCTGAATCCCATCACAACAGCCTTCCTATCTTGACAGTGGGGATTCTATTGTTTAGAGACCGGAGCTGATTTTTCTGAGAAGCATTACAAAATGCCTCCTTCTCCCCAACTTTCTCTGTTCCTCCAAAGTAATGTAAATTATGCACATTTCCTCAGCCTGTTATGTGGGGAATCTTTTATGAGCGCTAAAGCCTTCGGGTTCATTAGCTACTGAATTAAATTCTTAAGAAGACAGACACTGTAGATGTTGTTGATCCATTGTTAGCAGCAAAACCATTGTTGATGTCTTATTATAGCTAAATTGCTCTTTTCTGTGGATGATGAGTGAATCAGAACAGTATGGTTTCAGTCTTCATAATCATGAAGAGCTAGAGTAGGAACCACACACTGTGTATTAATTTTTGTTGAGTAAATATAGTGCGTAACATGAAGCAAGCCAGTTCCTTTTCAAGTTCAGATTAATAAAGGATCTGTAGATGAATTCCCAGCAAACACTTCATGGCTTATGACCTGTAGAATTCCTTATTGGAATGCGATCAGAACACCTTCTCACCAGCTAGAGGACCAGGGCACAGAATATGCAAGCAGTGGCAAATAACCCAGACATTTTTTGGCCCTGTTTAGATATCATGGCATGTACTGAAGATGAGTCCTGAAATGCAGAGGGTTCCACATCCATCCTCAGCTGGGACAAAGTGCAGCTGCCCCTTACGGAAGGCGGCCCAACTGTCCAGTACCCCAGCTGAAGCTTAGAGCTGACCCCATGGCTCTTCAGGGATGAGCCCTGTTTCTGCATGAGGATTCTTTTTTCTTCTTCTTTGTCCCCTTTGTGCAAGCTGGGCTCATCCCTGAAAGGCAACGGGGGATGGTGGAGACCTCTGGACCAGGAGATGGAGATTTCTGATTTGCCTCATGTCACTGCTCCATTCTCAGGGCTGTGCCGTGGAGAGAATCTTCTCCTGATACTTGTTGCTGCTCTGGAGGAGTGGGCAGGAGTGCTTGATCTAATCCAGAGCAAAACCTTGAGCATGGGGCAGCCCCACAAGGCGGATGGTCAGCTCCTGGCTGTTGTCTGCTGCCTGAAAGGTCTGCTCTCCAGCAGGTGGTGCGGGGACTGGGATTTGCTGCTGTTGGTGCTGCCATGCAAACCAGTTCTTCCCCCTTGCCTCCTGCTGGGAGGAAGTGTCTCTGGCAGCAGGTGGGGGTGTCCACTCCTTTCTTTGGCACTACCTCAAATGCAGGGAGGGAGGAGAACTTCTGGCAGCAGCTCCCAAGTGCCACTTGGGCTGTCAGTGCCAACCTGGCAACTTGGCAGCCATCTTTTCAAGAGGAGCAGGGGACTTTTGCTGCTCTTGCCAGGTGGTTCATTGGCTCTTGGAACTCTCCCATGATGGATCGTTTTATCCAGGTTGGTGGCAACAGCCCTAGAATAGTCCATGGGTTCTCAGGGTGGGGGAGAAACTACCTTGGGTAATCTGTGCGGTGTTCATGTGACATGACAGGACACCTACAGTGGCAAACCATGGCTCGTTGTCGTGTCATCTGAATCGGGTCAGTATTGGCACATTGTACAGTAAAGCTGTGACAAATGAGTATAAATTTGCGTGATACTGTTACAGAGTTATTGTTTGGTTGCTTTGCAGGAGTTTGAGCTATTGCTAAAAGAGGGTTATGGAGAGCAGAACTGTTGAAAGCTCCTGAGACTCCAATTCTTACACACACTTACCTATATACACCACTCAACTCAGTGGGATCTACTTCCAAGTAAACATGTACAGGGTCATGCTGTTAATAAGCAGTGGCCAAGCATTCCATCTGCTTTTTCCATTAAGGAAATTCTAGGTGAGTGACCCAGAATGGTGAGGAAATGTCTGAAGCTGCAGAGTGTGTGTGTGTGTGTTTTCATTGTGTTAATGTGTGCGTAAGAAAGAATAACAGCGTTTTTTGGAACATGCTAAAGCAGACTGAAAAAGAGGCAGAGGGTGGGCTTGGGGCTTTAAAAGGCAAAAAGAGATTAACCAACAAAAGCAATGGACTAATGCAGCCATAATGTTCTTGATCTCTATGGTTTGGAGATAGAGAGTGCGATGTAAGTTAATGCACTCTCCTCATTCCTCTCTTATGCATGGATTCCCTCCTCCCATGGATTAGTATTATGTCTGCATCGGTGAGAACTGTGGTTAAGACGTAATCAGGCTTGTGCAAAATCCTGATTTGCAAATTCACTTCAAATGAGAAAATGTCACATGGCACCCAACTATCTCTTGGTGACTCTGTCATGGAGAAGTTGAAGGCTAATTTAAATAAGTGTTTGTGGAGACTTCCATTTGTTAAGCTAGATTCAGTAGATGGTTACTTTCCATTGAATGGTATCTTGCTTTTGGGGGCTTTGTAAACAAATATGCCTAAAATATTTTACTCTAAAATGATGTATAAACCCAAATTATGCATATACAGTTGAGTTTGATTGCACAAGTGCAAGATCAACTTTTTGTATTTTTAATATACCAATTAAACATGCTTTCTTCTGCCTAGCTATTCTTACAGTTTCCTTCTTTGGACAGAGCTAGGTGGTAACTCACCCAGTGGACTGTCATTTGATCTCTCTTAGGTCACTACTTCAACAAGTTCCATAGGCACTTGGCAGTATTTCCAAGGTCTGAGTTAAGACTCTGGCCTATCCTAGGGTGGTGGGATTTTGCTTAGGTGAAAGAACATTA